CACGTGTCCTATAGCAAAAACCTCTCCAAAAAAAAAAAAAGAAAAGAAAAGAAAAGAATGAAATAACCACCAAAAGACAAATATTGCATGATTACATTTACACAAAGTATCTAAAGTAATCAAACTCACAGAAACAGTGAGTAGAATAGTGGTTGGTCCTTTCCACTATAGAAGACAAAGGGAAAACAGCTGTTGTTCAGTGGTATAGTTTGTCATGTGGGATGAAAAGTTTTACAGGTTTACTGTACAATAATATGCATTAATACCTAAGTACACATGTAGAAATCGAGGTCGGCAGGTGGCATGGTAGTTAAGATGCTGGACTGCCACATAGTGGATGGCATTTCGAGATACAGATACGGTGGCTTAAAACTCACACTGGGCGTGTTTGTATGTGAGTGCCCCAAATCCCAGGAGAACGAAGGACCACGGGTCCAGGACTCCAACTGTAGTCAGCCATGCGAGTGTCCAGCAATGCAACCGCTACACCATCTGCTGGTCCCCCTCCCCCCAAAATTAGGAAATTCTCAAGAAACAAAAGAAGGTGCACAACACACGTACATAACCACAGAAGGGCAAAGAATAGGCATTCAATCTTTAACAACTCTCCTGAATTTCTGACCTCTATTACTTTGTTACACTGATATTTGGATTGAAAATGAGGAATATGTTGGTTATTTAATATGTAATACAGTAGCATAGTATTTTAATTGACCCTTTTTGATCCAGAACTACTTAAAAATATTTTAAAGGCCAGAACACAAAAAATGTTTCCTGTCACTTTTTTTTTTTAAAGGACCATAGATTAGTTTATTTTTAACATACATTCTCCCATGAATTGATAGGGAATAGGTTCCAGAAGCTCAGGCTCCTTTCCATTGGTTCTCACAAAGTGTGCTTCTCTGTGTGGAGCAGGCTGATGCTTCAGTTGAACCCAGGTACCTTTCTGTTTGGCTTCCTTCTTTTTCTGGTCATTTTCCTTCACACATTTGAGGAAGCTGTATCTGCTCTTAGAATGCTTAATATGCTCAATACGCACATTGATTCTCTTGGCAAGAATCTTGCCCTTAACTTGTTTGTTCACAACACTGCCAACAGCATGCTGGGTAACACTGTAGACTCTTCCAGTTTTGCCATAGTAACATTCATGGGGCATTCCTTTTTGAACAGTACCCATTCTCTTGATGTCTACAATATTACCTTGCTTGTAGATTCGGATGTATGTTGTCAAAGGAACCACCCCATGTTTTCTAAAAGGTTTAGAGAACATACATCGGGTGTCTCTGTGCTTTCCCTTTGTCGGGGTCCTTCCCCCTTTCCCTTTGTGTTTGTCATTTTGGTTAATTCATGGAAGATGGCGGTTCCGGCCAAAAGGAAGGCCTGTCACTTTTAAATTCTGGGGACATTATATACAGAATTTGGTAATATGGTTTGTCAAGGGTAACTATAGAGTCAAAAAGTTCTTAACAGTTAAGACTTAGTATTGAAGAGGAAATAAAAACAATAAAACTAGTAATCAAAGGGCCAGCAGGTGGCGTGGTGGTTAAAGGCACTGGACTCCCACATGGCCGACTGCAGCTTGAGTCCCAGACCTGGTGGGTTGCCCTTTCTCTCCCTCCTCTGTCCAAAAATTAAAAATAAATAAAGCTAAATAAAATAACTTTAAAAAATCAGTAATCAAAAGGATAGGATATCAGTGAAACATTTTTTTAAAAAGTGATAAAAAACGATATAAAGGATAATCCAAAATATTAAAGGAAAATATACTTGAGAAAAACACAATGATTTTCAGTCTAGAGCCAGGGCCAGTCAATGGTATGGTGGCCAAGGAGGCTGGATCCCATATGGCTGATTGCATGGTTTAAGTTCTGAACTTGGCAGCTGGAAAAAAACACTGGGCGAATATGTGTGTGTGCTCAAAATCTCAAGTGGAGAATGGAGGAGAAGGGACTGCCATCCCTTGTAGGGGATGATTTCTCACTTTCCCACTTTCTTTTTCTGGTGAGTGCATGCAATGGACCCTATTAGAAAAAGAAAAGTCTAGAATTTAGACAAGTGACGAAATAAACAAGGTAACAGGAAAGACTAAAGACTAAGATCCCTTCTCCTCTATTCTCCTCTTGGGATCTTGGGGGCGCGCGCGCACACACACACACACGCCCAGCGTGAGTTTAAGCCACCGGGTCCAGGACTTGAACGAACCGTGGTCGACTACATGAGAGTCTAATGACACAGCCATTACGCCAACTGCTGGTCCCTATTTAACAATGTTTTTATAATCACAGTATAAGTGGCTATCAATAGTTGGTTTCTGAAATGGAGACAAGTAATTTATACTTTTCCTTAGAATCAACATATATTAATCTATATTTATTATTCATTCTAGATATATTCTACACCCTTAATCCTTTCTTATTGTAGGAAGACATCCTATTTTGCTGTCCATCTTTTAAAATAACTGCTAAAACAGCATTTTGAAAAACATTTCTTTTGGTCTAGAATTGCTTCTTTCTTTCTTTTTTTTTTTTTTTTTTAAGTTTTTGCTATAGGGTGTGTATGCTTGCCAGAGACAGAGAAAGGGAGAGATCACCACACAGGAGAAATGGCCATGCCACAGACCCTTCTCCTCCAGTCTCTTAGGATTTTGGGAACACATGCACATGGCCTGGCATGATTTTCAAACCACCAGGTCTGGTACTCAAACCACACAGGAGGCCATCAGGAATCCAGCTCCTTAACCTCATGCCACCTACTAGTCCTTAGTATTGCATATGTTAATGCATATTCAAATTAGACTGAACCATACTATCTACCCAAAACTGTACTAAGGAGAACATATCCTCTTTCGTTAATGAATCCACTAAATAACACATTATAAGGTGAAGTGGCTTTTAAAATATTTACATACGGGGTCAGCAGATGGTGTGGTAGACTCCCACATGGCTGGCCTTGGTTCAAGTCTTGAACCTGGTGGTTTGCTTTCTCACTTTCCCTCTTTCTCTTTCTCTCTCTGCTGAATTAAAGAATAATAATAAATAAAAATAATTTTCTTTTTTTTTTAAAAGAGGGGCTTGTGGGAACCAGCAGTTAACGTAATGGCTATGTCGCTGGACTCCCACGTAGTCTACCGCAGTTCATGTCCCGGACCTGGTGGCTTAAAACTCACACCAGGCGCGTGTGCGTGTGTGCCCAAGATCCTGAGAGGAGAATGGAGGAGAAGGGATTGCGGCGTGACCATCCCCTCTGGGGGGTGATTTCTTGCTTTCTGTCTCTATGTCTCTCTCTGTCTGTCTGGCGAGCACACGCGCCCTATAGTAAAAAAAAAAAAAAAAAAAAAAAAAAAAAAGAAAAGAAAGAAAAGAGGGGCTTGCAGGTGGCGTGGTGGTTAAGTGCGCTGGATTCCCACATGGCTGACTATGGTTTGAATCTCGGACCTGGTGGCTTTCTCTTTCTCTCTCTAATGCTTTGTCCCTCTCAGGTCAAATAAAAATAAGTTAACAAATAAGTAGAGTTAAATAAAATAATTCTTTAAAAATATTTACTTAGAATAAATAGGAAAAGTATACACATTATCTTCAGATGTAGTTTATTAAATGAAGAGTTATATAAATGCAAAAATTGGTGTTGTATATCTGACTAAAACATAAAACTACATAAAGTTACTTAAAAGTAGGAATGGAAGAAGTCAGGATATACTAGACCATTTAGCCACACCAAGGGCTATTCCCACATTTATTCCCAGGGACCTTTCTGAGGCATATCTCCTCAGAGGGTAGAGAATTTAGCTCAAGAAAAAACTAAAAATTCTCTACTTGTACTGTTATTATATATTCCCTTTCATAACCTTCATGCTCTTCTGAAATGAACTTAATACATTCAAAATACAAATCAAAAGTAACTGATACATGCTTTTAACAAATGTATCACATCACTTGTTGGATATAATTATTTCATTTTAAAAGTATTCAGCAAAGGATAAAGACTAGAAGGCATTTAAAAATATACTGGGTCTATATTTTTTTAATGCAAAGAAAGAAACACCTTCCCCAAAAGGCTGAATAAAAATCCCTGCAAAATGTACTGCTCCATACAGTCCTTTCAGTGCAGACTACATTGTAGAAACAAAGTCTCTCTTAGAGAACTAGTTGTGAGAAATAATGACTATCCCTAAAGATATTACACTCTCAATTTTTACTACTTAAGTAAAGTCAGTATTAATTCTTAAGATTTAGCTTTGGGAAAAAAAAAAAAGGCCTTTTGAAAGTTTAACCTTTGTCAGTCCAATTGATTTATCATTAAGAATACAACGTCCCGTGTGTTTAAGCGTTTTTTCTCTTGTAGGTTCAAACGTTATTTCAGACTGTGCCCCTACTGAATGGGTTTCAAGCCTTTGAACACAGCTGAACAGTATGAACAAGTCTGGTGACGAAGCACAGGTTGATTCCTTAATACATCTTAAAGTTTACTGTCCTCCCATTTATTTATACAAGAAGCACCAAAACTGGAGCCCAGGTTTCAAAAGGACATGTAAAAGGAATTATAATTTAATCACATCATGACATATTACACTATGTAACAGTTTATATTTTGCCTGTTGATATGTAACATAGTTAACTTTATTACAAGCATTATCTCCTAGGACTTGTGGTATAAGTGCTCCTTTTCAAGTATTATCACTTAGTTAATAGTGTTTTCCTATATTGTAACATTAAGTAAATCAATGATAAATGTATATAATGCAATACATTGTGCCATTTCCCCCTACCTTATGTTAGGGTATTATTAACAAAATCAATTGAGAAAACCAAGACAACTATTAAAACTTAAACAAGGCTATCAATGTCACAGATGCAATGTGTGAGAAGGTCAACAGCAGTCTTCCCTTAAGAGGAAGGTCATTTTCACCAAAAGGCTTCTATTTTCAGGTTAGCATTATTTTAGCAGCAGCTGGTTTTAAGGAAAAGTAGATCAAAAGTTTCAAGTGAAAAAGACACACAGTTACTCTGAGAAAACATCAATCCACAGTACTAACAAAGAAAGCAAATTGCTGGTGTCACCTTAACATAAATTGATGCACTTTCCCTATCAACTTGTGATTTAGTTCATTCATGTGATGACAACAAAGCTTTGGAATTCTCATGTTATGTCAATGAGATGGACTAATTTGTTGTGGAACCTGTTGTTTGTTTTAATATCTAAATTATTAATAATACAATATCTAGAAAAAGTTCAGTGCTTCCGTGGCTTAAACCACATCAATTTCAACTTTCGTTTTCAAAATAACGATGCAATTAAATCTATGCTTCTGCAATAGTGCAATACAGTATCCTTTCCTGAATAAAGGAACTAAGGTTTATCCAAGTAGAAGCTTTAAATAAGGTAGGTTGTTGTTAACTACTTATTAATCCTGCATGTTTGATATAAAATATATCAGGAAAGCTTAAACTGGCTTGTACATCTATATTCAACTCAAACTTCACATGAGCAGCAATGGAAACGAACAGAGGTGCACTCAGTATAAAACACTTTTCAAAACTACTCCAAAAAACAAATGACAGAAAGTGGTTAGGAACAACTGAACATCTGTTGTGTGTACTAGATGTAAAAGAAGAATGGGCCCTGTGGTTACTTGCACTGTTTGAATTACGTGAAGGTAAAATGAAGACTTAGTCCACTTCCATGTCTGCAGAAGATTTAGGATGCTGTGAGCTGTCTTTTGCTGTATCTGGCTTAGTTTCAGTTCCACTCTGTCCTTCCATCGGTCCATTGTGGTCATTGTTAGCTTTTGTTTTGTCTTCAGCCACTTCCACTTTGGGTTTGGGCTTATAAATGATGGGGTTACAGAAATTATCCAGTTCCTAATGACACAAAAATTGATTGTATTAACAATATTAAAAGTTGCCATTAACTTTCTAAATTCTACATTAACTTTCAAAATTTCCTTATAATTTTACATTCCTGAGTTTATGTTTGCTCAGCTAAATAACCAACTCTTTCTTCAAATACCTTGTGTAGGATTTACCTTCTGGGCTAATCCAAGTCTGGGGCAATCAGCAACTTCTGACATTTTATTTTATTTTTAACCATCCTAAAACTTGTTTCCTAATAACTTCCTCATAATTTAATTTTGTGGGAATAATTCTTGATTATTCCTTTAAATATGCCTAATGCTTTATTATGAGAATTTTATGTCAAATAATATCTATTTTGCAAATGGAATTTCTCAACATTTATTGAAAAGCAATTTTAATAAATAAAATCATATTAATAAACACATTAACAACTTTAAATTTTTGAAAATAGCTGAGTAGCTTTTTCTGTTAAAAAGAAAAAGCCATAAAAGTAAAAGCATCTCAATTTAAATGAAATATATTTTCTATTTCCTTGCTTTTTACAAAGAAATAAAAAACCATTACATAGGGGCTAGCAGGTGGCTTGGAGGTTAAGGGGCTGGATCCCACATAGTCAATTCCATGGTTCAAGTCCTAGACTTGAGGGCTTGAAAATCATGCCAGGCATGTATGCATGTGTATCTAATATCCTGAGAGGAGGGAAGATAAGGGACTGCTGTGTGGCCATCTCTCCTGGGGGGGGGATTTCTTACTTTTCCTCTCCCTCTTCTCTCAGTCTCTGGCAAGCACATGCACCCTACAGCAAAAAACAAAAACAAAACAAAAATAAAAAATTATATAAATACTACTTATATTTAAAAATATTTCAGGGCCGGTTGGTGGCATGGTGGTTAATTAAGGGCACTGAACTCTCACATGGCCAGCCGTGGTTCAATTCTGGAGCTGGCAGGTTGCTTTTTCACTCTCTCCTTCCCACTCTGTCCCTCTCTGGTCAAATTAAAATAAATCAATAGAGTTAAATAATTATTTTAAAAGAAGCAAGAAAACAAGCTGCTATGTCTGGTACTCGAACCACAGTTGGCCATGTGGGAGTCCAATGCCCTTAACCACCACGCCACCAGCCGGCTCCTAAAATAATTCTTAAAACAAAAATTAAAAACATTTCAAGACTGTGTCACGGGGATTAAGGTAGGGAGACAAAGAATGGAAGTAACATCATAAGCAGACTGTTTTCGTGGCAAACTGCTTGTCATACTGTATGTCTCACCTTACCCTTACGAGTAAATGACCTTTACTTATTATAAAACTTCTGAGAATGAAAAGAGATAGGTTAAAAAAAATCTGCATTTTTTAGATTAGTGATGAGAATGAACACTTTTCCATTTACTTGTACTGGACATGTATTTCTTCCTTTGTCAATTGGTTATACTCAATGTATATATTTACTGATTTTTCTACTTGGATGCTAAAAGTTTTGTACCTGTATTTTTTATGGTGTTTTCTATGATAACTCTGTCTTTTTCATTAGCAATATTTTTTACACTGGACGTTTTATCTTAGAAGTAAGAAGGTGCTGGGACCAGCAGTTAGCGTAATGGCAATGTTGCTGGACTCCCGTGTAGTCGACCGCGGTTCGAGTCCCGGACCCAGTGGCTTAAACTCACACTGGGCGCGTGTGCATGAGTGCCCAAGATCCCGAGGGGAGAATGGAGAAGGGATTGTGGCGTGACCATCCCCCCTGGGGGGTGATTTCTAACTTTCCATCTCTCTGTCTTTCTGGCGAGTGCACGCGCCCTATAGCACAAAAAAAAAAAAAAAAAAAAAAAGAAGGTGCCATAGAAATTCACAGTTTGGGACCTGCAGATGGTGAAATGGTTGTCATTTGTCTCCTACATAGAAAATTGTGGTTTGAGTCCTGGACCTGGTGGCTTAAAACTCACGCCAGATGGGTTGGCATGCATGCCCAAGATACTGAGAGAAGAATGGAAGAGAAGGGATTGCAGCATGGCCATCTCTCCTGGGGCGGGGTGTGTGTGTGATTTCTTGCTTCTGTCTCTCTGTCCCTCTGGCAAGCAAATGCATTCTATATCAAAAAAGCTTAAAAAAAAAAATTCACACAGGGGACCAGCAGTTAGCATAATGGCTATGTCGCTGGACTCCCATGTAGTTGACTGCGGTTTGCATCCTGGACCCGATGGCTTAAAACTCACGCCGGGCGCGTGTGCTTGCATGCCCAAGATCCCGAGAGGAGAAGGGATTGCAGCGTGGCCATCGCCCCTGGGGGGGTGATTTCTCACTTTCTGTCTCTCTGTCTCTGTCTGTCTGGAGAGTGCATGTGCTCTATAGCAAAAATCCCTAAAAAAAAAAAAAAAATCACATGGTTCAAAGTAGGTCAAAGACAGACCTATACTGCAAAGTTTTACAATGACAACTTAGAGGTCTCAGCCAACCTTTAAGTCTGAAATATTTAACGGTCAGAAGTTTGCACTTTGCTTTGTTTCATTCCACATTGTCAAAATTCAAAAACTTATTTTGCGTGGCAAAATAAGTCAATGAACAGATATCCCACACCAAGAATCTTTTCGAAAAATATTTTTTTAGTAAAGAAACAGATTAGCCTTTAGATTGATTTTTAAAGTTCTTCTGCAAGTTCATTACCTCAAGGTATGGCTCCCATTAAAAAATTTTAGTCTTTGAAACCATTAAAAAAGGGTTTTGGGGGCCAGAAGGTGGCATGGTGGTTAAGGTGCTGGACTCTCATGTGGTTGATTGCAGTTCGAGTCCCAGACCCAGTAGTTTGAGAATCACACAGAGTGCATGCGTGTGCATGCCCAAAATCCTGAAGAGAGAATGGAGAAGGCAGCACTGCAATGTGGCTATTCCCCCAGGGGGTGATTGCTCACTTTTCCTCTCTGTTTCTTTCTGGTAAGCATAAACACACTATGACAAAAACTTTTAAAAAAAGGGGGGGGATTTTTCACAGTTTCTTACCTTTGATTTTGCAACTATTTCTGAAACTTTTACCACAGGATCTTGAGTGAGACTAAGTTTGTTCTGTGCATTCATCTTACTGTTCAACCAACTCATGGCATCACTGATGTATTTTTCAACTTTTTCCATTTCAGCA